AAATGGGGAGGGGAGGAGGGGGTGAATGGAGGGCAGGGACAAGGGGAAAATGAGAAACAAGACCTGTCACGTAAAGGTACAGGATCCCAGTGATGAATGATGAATGTAACTACTATATACCTAAAATGTACCAATAAACTCAATGAGGAAAAAAAAATTATGCTCACCTTTTAGAAAGAACACTGTTCCTGGCTTCTGACTTGGTTTGCTCTAGCCACGCTGGATTTCTTAGCCCAGTTCTTGATTATGCCAGGACACATGGTTTGGCTTAGATGTGACTGTCCTGAGCTGTGGCTGTGTGTGCGTGTGTGTGTGTGTGTGTGCGCGTGCGCCCGCAGAAAATCCTTGTAAGAGACATGTCAGTCCTTAACCATCGAAGGATGTAAAGCCAATGACATGAAGCAAGTTAAAGGCAGAGTAGAGAGGAAAATAGGGGGTCATGTCCCCCTACCCAGGTCCCCAGGCTGAGCCCTGGGAGGTTCAGAGGGAGAGATTCACACACTCCTGACCCAGTTGTTTTTCGCAGGTAATAGTCATCATAAGAGGTGGCACGGGTTGAGCCCCTGTCAAGTGCCAGTTCTAGGGCTCTTGTTCCCAAGCTGAGAACAGCCAGTACCCTAGCCCCCTACCCAAGGTCACAACAGGCCATTGCGGGCACTGAGCCCACCCCGGGGTCCTGGGCTGTCCTGCACTTCAGCAGACTGCTCCCCACCCCAGCTGCCACCTCCCATTTTGTGTTTCTGGGTTCGGGAAATGTGAGCCCCTGGCTCTCTGTCTGTGGATTGCTAACCTGACTACAGACCTTCAGTGCCATCGGTTTTGTAGGAGCCCAGGAGTTGGTCCTAGGATGCAGTGAGCCTTTCGCAGGAGAGACAGGGATGAAGCCCACCAGGACTGGCAGTGTGGGCTCTTCTGAGCAGATGGTGTCAGAGTCCGTGCCATCATTACTTCTGTCTGCTGCAGAGCCGAGGCCATCTCTGTGTGGCTACGTTTGCTCCAGCCTTAGCGTCTGGACTGAACCCCAAAAGGGCATGAGTGGGGAGCCCCGCCATTCTGTCACTCCTGCCCTGCACTGGCTGCTCACTGCCCTCTGACCTAAGCCCAAGCACACTCGCACTTACCCGGGTTTGGTGTTGAACACAAGGGGAAGCTGACAGATACTGATTCCTAATGTGACTGCTCATCCTTTAGAAGAACTGTGCCCGCAGTTTCTCCTTCATAACTTTCCCCATCAGGTCAGTCCACAATGAAAGCTCTCCAGTCACACGTCAAGTCCGAAGCCAGCTCTGGCTGAAGCTCTGGGTGGCCAGCCTTAGAACCCAAAGCACCGGCTCACCTCCCACTCTTCACCAAGCACTGTGAGGAGCCGGGCTCAGTTGTCAGACCAGCAAGTGCCCTCATGGTGATCGCGTCTGAGCGGGAACGAGCTCAGAAGGAGGCCATGCACGCGGAGAAGGCCTTCGTCCTCACAATGTGACTGCACGCAGCCTGGCTGCCCTGGACCCCGGGACCGCACGTGGCTTGTGCCGATGCTGTGCCTTGGTGGCACCATCAACACCTTCTGGATTCCAGATCACACTCATTGTCAGTGAAAGGAAACTGATCACCAGGTGGACACTGGGACCGGGCACTCCTGCTGAGCTGGGCTCCTGCTCTGTCACCCCTGGATTAGGAATGGTGACCTGCAAACCCCAAAACTGCTGCCAGCGGACAGCAAATAGATTTTTTTTCCTGCCAGCCAAGGGCAAAGAAACAGCTGGTCTCTGCTGTGCATGAAATACAGGTGACAAAGACGAATGGTAAAAGGAGACTTTTCCTAGCTGATCAGTCAGTAGGATTTCCAGGCTGCGGTACCAAGTGCAGAGATAAGAGGCAGAATAAAGGTGGGGTGACCAGCGGCCGGCCAGTCAGCCTAAAGATAAGGCTCCTTCACTGGAAAGAGCCGCAGCCAACCTCCTGAGATATATGCACGTTCCAGTCCAGGGCAGAAAACTGCTAGACGGCAGGTATCGGGGAGGGTCTTCTCACCTGTGACTCCCATCCAACATGAGTTGGCAGCCCCATGCTCCACTTGGACTGACAAGGGCGAAAAGGCTGAGTAACACTCACCCTGGAATCCCCCCTAAGACGGGGCGTTAGATTCTGAGAGCGGAATGGCAAAATCAGTGTTCGGCATCTGGTAGAGCCTAAACCAAAGTAACACAAAGTGACTTGTCAACGTCAAAAGTACAGTCATGGTTGAAGATGGCAGACTAATTCAAATGACACAGGATCTCACCAAGATGTGTGACAACATCTTGTTCCCTTAAAGTTGCAGCTGGGTGTGGTGGCACACGCCTATAATCCCAGCACTTGGGAGGCTAAGGCAGGAGGATCGCTGAGAGTTTGAGACCAGCTTGGGCTACATAGTGAGTTCCAAGTCACTCTCAACTACATAGTGAGAGACCCTGTCTCAAAAAAAAAAAAAAAAAAAAAAAAAAAAAGACGTTGCTGACCTTCAGAATGGAAAGTAGCAATCATCTGAAGGGGTTTGAAACTGGTTGAAAACGTTTTTGAAGTGCTTATGCCCAGGGAGCTCTGGGCCCTGTCTTTGATCTGACCTGTCTGATGCTGTCCTTTAGGTCCTCCAGAGCAAATTTGGAGGTGATATGAGTTAGGGGGAGATGAATAACCTAGCAGATAACAAAACTAAAACTGAAAATAATTTGTTGGGTTAGCTAGAAAATAGGCAGATGGAATTTGAGAGATGTACACAGTCTTGTACCTAGGTTGAGGTAGGATTTCAGAATCCTGGCCTGAATATCTCAGGTGAAAATTCCTGAGGGTGTGGCAGGCCCTGCTGACATGGCCACACCAGTGCAGTGCAGTCTCCTGCACACATGCCTGTGTGCACACGTGCAGACACACACACCAAAGCATCCCTGCCCTGTAACGGTCATAGGACGGTGGCCATCTCACCTCCCCAACCCCGGAAGCCATGGCATTAGCTCATTAGTTCTGGACACCGTGTTTCGAGGTGGCACATCAGTGAGAGCTCAGAAAAGAGGGACTAGGCTGGAAGTGCTGGGTCCTGCAGCTCAGGAATGAGTGGAAGCAGCCAGCGCCCTTCTCAGAATCCAGCAGTCTGGTGGCAGGAGGGAGCAGTCCCCCCACAAGGCTGGCAGAGCCCCGTGGGCCTGGAGTCCTCCCAAGCTGGGAGACCAGGAAATGGTGAAGAGCAGTCAGCAGGCTGGGGCAGCGGAAAGAGACTCCCTGGGGAAGAAAGGACAGCACAGTGGGAGCGGCCGGGCTGAGGGAGCTGGGAGGGAGGACCGTGAGTGTCCCCCCACTGCCTGCTCCACAGAGGGGAGGAGGGGGCCCTGTGCTACTGCAGAGGGCAAAGTGTGGACCTGGGGGCCAGAGCGAGGAAGAACTGGCCACGGGGATTCTCGGGGGCCTCTACCCTGTAGCCATGGGGATGAGTCTCCCTCCAAGGCGCCGACACCCTGGAAAGGGCAGGTGCGTCCTGGAGGGGAGATGAAGCTAGAGGACGCCTGTGCTCTGTCCACACTCGCCGCCAAACCTGGGGTATTGCACTCTAACAAGCTATGGCTCCCCTCACTCTTGGCTCTGCGGGGCCAGCACAGCAGGCCTTTGTAGAACGCTGTCAGCGCCTTCATTCCACTGTCACTGTGGGAACAGCCACAGCGTGTGTCCATGTGCATGGGCTGGAGTGGAGGCTGTGGGCAGGAGCACCCTTGTCTGCTACTACATTTTTCAATCCTCATTTTAACGCAGCAATGCTTGAGGACCCACCAGTGAGATGGATGATATTTTCTGTTTAAAAACACACCCGCTACAACTCCAGCTTCTGAGAATCATCACCTGTATGTCCGTGTTTCCTTCCTATCTTACCTTAATTAAGGCTTTTAGAGGGAGGAGAGGTCTGAGGAGCCCTTGAGTTCCCCTCCCCTTGCTTAGGCCCTGAGCTCCTGGGCCTTGCCTGTCTCATAGGCTCTGCCCATGGTTGGCTCCTCCCGCCAACTCTCTCCTCCCCCAGCCCACCTGGGGCCCCCTGCGCAGGTCTGGAGAGGCAGTACTGGAGCCGTTCTCTTTCCACACATAGTATTGGGTTCACTGCTTTCTATCAGAAAGAAAATGAGTCTCCCGGTCAGTTCACAAAGCCTCTTTAATGAATCTGTCACTGAAATCTCAACACTTTGTGAAAGTATCTGTTTTGCTGTATATCATTACAAATGTATAGTTTAGTACAAGTTCAAAACGTATATTTCTGATATTTTTATCATCCATTCTTCATTGAGAAAGTAGGTTATGGATAAAGTCTATAAACACTACCAGTTTCAACCCTGGACATTTCCTGTGTGCAAAAGCGCAGGAAACTGCCATATTTGCAGAACCAGGATTTGTGGGCCACACGAGGGTGGTGCTTCCTCACCATGGTAGCTTTAGGCTACCTGTGTTCTCAGCCGCCTTCAGTTGCCTCTGCCCTTCTGTGCATCTGCCTGCTGCTGGAAAGGCAGCGCGCTGGCCAGGTGACACCAAGGACTGACAGCACATTATGGTCATCGAACCAGCAGCATCGAGAGTAAAACTCCAGCAGGGCAGTTGTCTGCATCCTTACGGACCCGAGTGTGTGTCCGCAGTTCATCCTCGGCTTCCAGATGTGATGCAGCGGGGTGTGGCCAGTGCTTAGCTCCAGCTGTTTGTGCTGGCCTGCTCTCAAGGCCTGGTCCCAGCAGCCACTTGGCCCCAGGACCCCCTTTTCCTTGTCCGCAAAATGGGGGCTCCCTGATACAATGCATATTTACAGGCTACATGTAACAAGCATTAAAAGTTTGTATCTGATTTTTTTTAATACGAGCTTTCATGCTGAAATGGAAATTAATTTTGGTTTTTAGCAGGTTTGACCTTTCCCACGAAACTGACCCGAAGTTTGGATTGGTGGATAATAAGTAGCGATGTTGTAGTCACTCACATGTTCCTACTCCCTCTATTCCCAGGTTGCCCGGCTCATGGAGATGGGATTTTCCAGAGGTGATGCTTTGGAAGCCCTGAGAGCTTCAAATAATGACCTCAATGTGGCCACCAACTTCCTGCTGCAGCACTGATGGTCCAGCCCAGCCACCGATGACAGCGGCGTGGTCCACCCTGACACCGCGGCTCGGACCGAGCAGGCTCTGGCACCGATTCTGTCATAGAGAGAGGGCGGTCTTCACTCCAAGTTGGTTACCGTTATAGTATCAAATACGTTTGCCATTAAATTAGCATGTATTTTCTATCTTTATTTTTTTATTGGGCATTTTCCTTGCTTTGGAGAATCCTCACTCCTGATGTGTTCAGAAGCGTTAAAATTGCGGATGTCTCCAGCAGCCAAGGGCCTCTCGGGATTGGGACTCGCTGCTGTCGCCATGTTCCTCACCTTTCTGCGGGCGCTGTGCCACACGGGAAAGGGCACTGCTCCTTCAGGAAGGAAGTGTCGCATCAGTCTCCATGGGCTTTTTTTAGTCGCTGCTTTTTTTCCCAACATTGCGTTCACATCCCCTGGCTGTTCGGTCCGCACACTTCCCAGAGGCCGTGCAGTACCCGCCAGGCCTCAGGGACAGGGGGGAGGCGCACAGCCTGGCTCCATGCTGGTCTGGCCCACTCCAGTCCAGAGGATTTCCCGACTCCTTCCTCCCATTTCCATTAAAAATAATGGTGATACCATGTTCAGACTTGACGTTCTGGGATACTCCATAACAGCTGGGGTTAATTTTGCTCAAAAGTCCGGAATTAGCCACTTAGGCTGGGTAGGGAGTGGAGCAAGAGAATGGTTGCTTCCTGGAGTCTGGCAGAGTCTGACCAGATCGCGCAGTGGCTGGGCCAGTCCAGTGCAGCCCCAGGAGAGAAGACAGACCCTCGCCCACCACCTTCCCCGCTGCAGGGTGACCCCGGCCCCGCACCTCACTCCCACGGTGGCACAAGGCGAAATGTACCGCAGAGACACGGTGAGGAGGTGACCAGCTGAGGTGGCCCACGGTGGGCACAAACAGCTCTGGAGCCAGTCCATGGTTACAGTCAGCAAATTGTGCGACTAGTGTGTTCCGCGAAAAGAGCAGCCGTGTATCAAATTGATGCAAATTTCGATGTGTGATACGTCAATAAAGTTTTTAACGTGTTTTACTTTTCCGTAGTTGTGATTAGACTTCTCTAAATACAACCTCATTCTAGACAGTTCCACCAGAGCGTGGGGAAAGGCCGGCCCGCTCATCTCTCTGCAGAAGGCCCGGTGCTTCCTGAGCAGATGTAGCACGGCTGTGGCATCACCCAGCGGTGGCGTCACTGTGCCAAAGCCCGGAGCCTCGGGTTGAGGTGACTTTCTGGGAGCCTCTGGTCCCAGGCCTCGGACTTGGAGTCTGGGTTTTCCTAGCTCTCCTGTGAGGAACAGCAGGTAGTCGTGAAGACAGCCCCCTTCACTCACTGACCAGGGCACAGCCAGGACATGACCCACACCCTGTGTCCCCAGGCCCAGAGCAGCTGCGTTCGGACACGAGCACCTGCCTTACTCCTTGTCGCCTTCCCGTAGCACTGCGCATGGACAACCGACCACAGGCTGCGCCCTTGCCTCCCAGAGTGGGGAGCCAGCAGCCCACGCAAGGCTCGCAATGGAAAAGGACTGAGGATGCCCACCTGCTTGTGATCATACTTCGCATATCCTCGGTGACCCTGTTTCAGCAGAGAGCGGAGACCTGAGGACTGGACTTGGACCGTGGCACAGTGAGGAGACGCCTCAGCCCCCTGCCCCAGCGGCTCCCACATCTCACCTGTCCTTGTCCTGCACCACCAGCCATTGTCCCTCCAGTGCCACCTTTGTACCTTAACACATGCGGTCTTTATTTCTCCCGCACACATGGGTGATGCCTTGCTGGGCTCCCAGTGCTGGCCGGCCCTTGCTTCCTGCAGCCACCTGTCAAAAGGACGTGGAATGCAGGAGAATACACCTCTGGCCAAATCCCAGAAATAGCAGGCTGGGGCCGCCTCCAGAGAAAGACCTTGCCTAGTGACGTGTGCCAGAAGGGGGCGTCAGTGAGCCGTTTAATCTGGTTTCCTAAAATCTAGAAAAAATTCAGGCTTTTGAGTTTGTGCAGATGGTAACTGTTCAACTTCATTTGCAAACAAACAGATTCTAGATTAAGAAATGAGAAGAGGGAGAAAAGTATCTGTAATAAGCAAGCGCTTCTGAGGGTGAGGAGATCCTGCCTTGGAAGTAAGCGGGAGACCAGAGAAGTGAAGGACGAAATTGCAGATCCCAGTGACTTTAGGATGTTCCCTGGGTGCCTGAGTTTATGCCCCTGTAGTTATCCTTAAAGTGAAATGGAAGCGTCTAAAACCATAAATGTAGTGCCTGTTTTAAGCAGATTAAGTTATACGCGATTTGTGAGAGTCAAGTTATCTTCCTCATAGTCCCCTAACAGATAGTGTTTCTATAAAGGGGAGGACCAAGAAGGCGAGGCCGACATTGGGCTCGGCTAAAATTTGAGATCTGAAATTGAAATCGCACATAAGAAAAAGAGGCAGAATTGTGTGAATTTCTAACCTGCTCGATATAGCTGTGTGAAATGGAGAAATCCTCAAGGGCTCAATTTTGGTGACGCCCCCACGAGAGCAGGGATTCAGACAGAGCAAGGCTGGTTTGGGCTGGGAAAGTGGCCACCAGAGATGGAAGTTGACATGGAAAGAGGCAGGCTGGAGAGCAACACGGGCTGCTCCAGGGACAAGGGGCTGAGTGAGTTGGCTGGAGATAAACGAGAGGAAGGCGGGTTAATGGGTCTGCTGGGCATGTTGGTGCCTGGAGGGAGCAGGGAGAACCAGCAGAAGGCAGCCAGTCAGGGAGCGCAGGAGCCCCCGGACAGCCAGCTCCTAAAGACAGAAGCTGGAACGTGACCAAGGGAGAAAGCAGCAAGGGTGGGAAGCTGAGGAAGAGGAGGGGCCAGAAACTCCAAGATCCACCCAAGGTGGGTTGTGAGCTGGAACTGTGAGGACCGTTGACCTGGGAAAGCAAGAAGGACCCTGCAGTCACCCGGAAGCAGAGGGAAAAGAAAGTCAAAGGTAAGACAAGGAGGAATGAAGTTCACCAGGCTTAGGTCTTCGAGTTTCCACCTTCTTAACCAAGAAGGGAGAGAGGAGGAGGCCCAAGAAGGGGTAGGAACTGAAGTGGAGGAGTGGAGGAGCCCTTCCAGCCAGAGTTCTGTGCAGGACGGAAGGGGTCGTGCTTTTGTTGGTCCACTCAGCAGTGTGGTGGTCTGCAGACCCCAGTAAGGGAGAATCGCAAGGACCTAGGGCCACAGACTAGAATCCAGATAATCCCAAGAAACTATCCAGATGCCGCAGGCCCTCCTAGTATCCACAGGGAAGTGGGAATATTCCAGAAGGTTCTGAGATGCCTGGCACTTTGAGTAGACTTGGAGTGGAAGGGAAAGGGGGGAACCCTGATCCTTGCAGGGATCTTTGGTAGAAATCTGGCCCTAAACCCTGTGCTTCTTGCTCCCTGGAGAGCCACCCTGATCTTCACCAAAGCACAGAAGTACCTTACTGACTCTGAGGGGCTGTCCCCACGTGCCACAGACACATCAGACATACAATGGCCTCTACCTTCACCACAGCAAACCAGAAAAAAGGCATTAAAAGCACCATGTAACCCCACCAGTCGATAAAACCAGAGTCCCTCCTCAGTGGAAGGGAAGGGACAGCCATCTGCCACCTGCCCTGCCCTGGCCATCACTGTCCCAGCCACACGGAGACCTTCCTCCCTGAGCATGTGTCAGTCCTTCGCTTTATGTGGCTGCATATCCATAGGGAACCTGAACTAGAAAGAACATTTTTCTGGTGTAGAAGACTGGGTCGGAGAGGGACCGGGTAACCTGATCAGGGTCCACCAAGGACCTGTCCTCAGCCCCTCTGCAGCTGCCCCAGCCTCACGATAGCTGGCCCCACTCCCTCTGCTGCTGCTGCTGCTGCACACCTGGGTGGTAGACGAACCTCAGGTGCCCTAGGACTATCCTGGTCCCTTCCTCCTGCTCATACCTGGCTCAGGAATATGGGCTGCCCCTCTGCATGGACCAGCCCTCCATCCTGCAGAAAGAGGGGACCCTTAGGGGATATTATAGGGAGACAAGGCTGGGACGCCTCCCACACAGCCAGACTACTCAACTTCCAAACCCACCACCTCAACCCAAAGCCACACATGCTTGTGAGACACTGCAGGTAGAGTGGAAAACCAGGTACAAGGGTCCTACCACCAAGAATGATGTCCCCCAACTTCCCATGTTGTGTTGGAGGCCATGCAGTGTCTCCCCCTAAGATGCTACTGACATTAAAGACACTTGGCCTTTGTTAAGATGCCAGTTGGAACCTCAACTGGAGACTGGAGGAGTAGGGAGAGCCACCCACCTGGAACACATGGGACATTGGATTCCCCCTGGCCTGACCTCCTGTCCCCTGGGCTTCTGTCTTTAACACTGTGTGGCTCCCAGGCCCATCACCACCATTCTGTTCTTAGATGAGAATTTCCTTAGGTGAATGCTAGCAACAATTCTTACAGGTTACCGGGAACAGACCACACACAGATAATCAAATGCCACTAAAGATACCGTAAGACAAGCTGGCGTGGTGGCCCACACTTGTAATCCCAGCACCTGAGAGGCCAAGGCTATGAGTTCGAAGCCAGCCAGGGCTACATAGCAAGACCATGTCTCAAAAAACCAAGCAAGCCAACAAACAAAAAGATACAATAAGACAGACACATGGCAAAACCCATGAACTCATGGGGAAATCAGGGCTCCAATACACTTACTGGTCCTCCGCTCAGAAATCTCAGTCCTCAGAGCTGGCAGCGACGTCAAAGGTCTTGCTGACTAATGTCCCCATTGCATAAATGAAGCCACATCCAGAGCCACCAGAGTCTCCCTGCAGCCACCTCGATTCTGCACCTCAGGTCCTATCCACATGGCGCCCCTTTGGCCCAGATGCTGGCGGGAGGAGGGAGGCTCTTCCCCAGGAACTTGAACCCTGTTCCTCCTCCTCCTCCAATTGCCTGGTTCTCCAAGGTCTGCCCCAGCAGGTGCGCGTGAGACTTGGCCTCCTCAGCCCCATCTCCACACATACAGAGCTCTGAGAATGGAAATGCTGAGCAAGAGCATAAACCAAGAGATAAGATGAACAGATTTCTGCTGAAGTGCTAAGCAAGCCAGAAAATATTCTCAAGGTCACAGGGCAGTGGGAAGAATGTTCTCAAGGTTGTGGGACAGATCTGCACGAGAAAGCCAGTCACTGCATGTAGACATGAACTTCAGCTAGGGAGGAAACACATGGCCAAACTGTGCGGTACACCGGGCGGCTCCCTGGGCACTATCTGCCACTCCCAAGCCCCCCCCACCCGGCCAGTCCTACAGCGCTGAGGCTGAGGGTCACCCCCCGAGTGCACAGCACCCCACTCTGCATGTGACAGGGCTGGCTCTCGGAGGAGCCTGGAAAAGTAAATGGGATCCAAAACATTTGCTTTCTTTTCACTTCTTTCAACAGCTGATGGGAGGCATGAAGCTTGAAAGAAGAAAGGAGAAACCATTCATTTTCCTTAAACAGAGTAGAAAGATTAAGAGTATTCCATTAGCCATACATGGTGGTGTACGCCTGTAATCTCAGCACTCAGGAGGCTGAGGCAGGAGGGTTGTGAGTTTGAGGCCAGTGCTACAAACAGAGGCCCTAACTCAAAACAAATACAACACCGCATCAGTCAGCTCTGGCTGCTGTAACAAAGTGCCCCGGGCTGGAGGCTGAAACAGAAAGTGTTTCCTTACTGCCCAAACAAGGTGCCGATAGGCCGGTTCCTCCGCGGCCTCTCTGGTCGGTCAGTAGCTCTCTTCCTCTGTGACTGCTGTGTCCAGATCTCCCTCATCTAAGTCCTAAGCTTAGGGCCCACCCTTGTGACCAAGGTTTAACGTCTTTGCTTCCTCAGAATCCCTGTGTCCAACTACTCTGCCATAAAGAAAGATGAGCTTGAGACCTTTACAGCTAAAGGGAGGCACCTTGAGCCCATACTCTTTGGGGGGATAAATCGGACACTCGCGTGTGATACCACATTGTTCCTCTGGGGTGAGAAACCGAAAGTGGAAATAAGGACTGAAAAGTATAGGAGATTTTGGGAAATGAGAAGAAAATGTTCAAATGGGAAGGGGCGCAAAGGAGGGGGCGGGAGAAAGGAAGGAAGGGACCAAAAAGGTGAAAATAGAAGGAAAAAATGGAAACAAAGCTTTTGTATGTGGGGAGGGGAGAGAGAATGAGAAAACAGAGGTGGGAAATATCATGTACAGGTGCAAATTCCCCGTGGTGAGTGTTACCATTATGCACATCTAAAATGTACAATAATGGTTTTGCTGAAAAGAAAAAGCCCTGTCTCCATAAGTCACTTTCTGAGGCACGGCGGTCAGGACCTTCACGTACAGACTTGGGAGACGCGCTCAGGCTGCCCCCGATACCTTGGCGTTAGAAGTAAGCACTCTGCTGATGGCCAGCTGACCCAGCACCCCACGGTGACAGCAGCTGCGGGCACAGGGAGGAGCCGGCTGGCCACACCTGGGCCGTGGGTGCCACTGACACTCCAGCAAGGCCCCTCCCGACTCTTCGCCTGTGTGGCTTCGCAGATGACTGCAGTACTGAGTACGCCCAAAGCAGGCTGTGAAGAGTCAACCCCGCAACTGGCTTGTTTACAGAAGTGAGTCTGGCCAAAGCCTACATGCCGAGGTCAGAGTAACTCGCACCCGAATTCCGTTCCCACAACTGAAACCTTCAGACTGAGGGACAGTGTTCGAATTACGATCATGTGTTTTGTCTGTTCCGTTCCTCATTTGAGAATACTTTGTCTTGTCCTTTATGAGCCTTGTTTGCATTAATTTCCACAGAACCCACGCGTTGCTTTTACCCCAGTTAACTGCCTATAGAAGTCGGTGCCTGGGACTCTCCAGGGCCTTTTGCGGTTGCACCGGTATTGGTGGTTCGGTGCCCTGCTCGCTCTCTCTCTCTCTCTTAGTTCTGTCTCCTAGTGTATCTTTCTCAGGCCTGTGTTGTACACTGGGCAGGTGGGTACTGGTTCCCGATGACAGGAGAACTACCCTGTCTGACCTGGCTTGCGACACATGTGCCTTCCTAGGAAATGACGAGGCTTCCTGTCCAGCTCCGCCCACCCCAAGGGTGGGGACTCGGGGACATCGGGAATGTGGGCCTGTTTTCTAAACCACTTTCTTAAATACTGTATTCCTGGCATCTTGTGACTTTCAGAAATACTTCCTAATAATAAACTGGGGTCCTCTTTTGAGAATGACGAATAAAGATCTCAAACAAGTTTGAACCTGTGGCTGCCTGGCTGAGCAGTTTCCACAGATGGGTCGGGTGGAGGCTGGGGGTGCCTGCCTGGTACCCACCCAGCGGCTCCCCTCCCTCGGTGCTCCTTCCTACAGTGAGCTCAGTGCAGGCTCTTCTCTCAGGTATCTCCTTTTCCTCTCTGTACCATCGGCTTTGCCTCTGTACTGACCTCTTCTGCTTAGGCTGTCAACTACGACAGCTTCTTTCTCTGTGCTACAAAATGACTTTAGAGCGGGGTGTGGTGGTGCAGGCCTGTAATCCCAGCACTCAGAAGGCAGAGGCAGGAGGGTCACCATGAGTTTGAGGCCAGCCTTTTTGAGCTGCTGGCTCTCCGCTCCCTTGGCTCCCTGGGCTTTGGTGACAACTCCTGTCCTGCTTTGCCACCTTTCTCAGTCTGTCCCGCGGCTTCCTCAGCTCCTTTTCCCACCTTTAGACACTGATGGCCTCCTGGTGCTTTCCTCGCCTCTGTAATGAACGTGTGCTGACCTGTGATGTCTCGGGGCCTGGTGACCCCGAGGAGCCTGCACCCAGCAGCACGCTCTTTAAACCAAACCAACCAACCTGGGGCCCCTTCAGGCTCTCACACTCCAGCTGCTGTCCCCTGCCCTGATCACCCGGGACCAGGACCAGACCACTACAGCAGACCCTGTGTCCCCCACACCCATCCCCCACCCGGGCGCCTGCCCTGCCCTGGCTTCCTCAAAAAAGTAAGAAAAGCCTCCTGCTCATTTTTTCCCTGGTGCCCCATCGGCCTCCTGTCCGGCCCTGAGGCTCCTCACATGGCCCTGAGGCTCCTCTTGGGACCTGTGAGTAACAACGGTCTTGCCAGTGACAGCTGCCTCCTGCTCTCGTCACACTGGAGTCACAAGGAAACCGTGTCTTCTTTTATGAAGTCTGCTGGTACATTTCAGGTACACATTGTGATCACAGTCCTCATTGGGAATTTGTACCTGTGCATGAGATACCTTGGTTCTTTTTTCCCCGTTCCCCCGCTTCAACCCCTTCATTCCTCCCTATTTACATGAGCTTCGTTTCCATTGTTCCCCTTCTTTTTTCCATGTTTTTCCTTTCCCCTCCCCACTCCCTACTTCCCATTTCCTTTTGAACCTTTTCTTCCCATTTCGCAGTAGCCATTGCACATTTGGGTCCTCATTTACCCTTTCAGTTTCTCACACCAGGGAGACAATTCAGTATTCACATATGAGTCCTATTTATTCCACTTAAGAGTATGGCCTCAAGCTATATCTATTTAGCTATAAATATCTCTATTTTTCCTTATGGCTAAGTAGTAATCCATTCCATTCAAAAAACAAAAAACGACATCTTCTTTATCCGGTCCTCAGTTGAAGGGCATTTGGGCTGGGAAACCCATATTCAAAGCAGCCTCCCTGAGATCTCCCTGGGAATAGTAGCCCCTCATGTCTTCCACATCTGCCCCTCATCCTAAACTCTCTCCTGGCTTCTCGCCTTGCACGTCCTGCTTTATGATAGACACTTCCAGGGGACCCATTTTCTTAGGTCCCCGGGGCACCCAAGTCCACCTTCTACTTCCAAACTACACCCTGCCCTGTACTCCCACATCAGAAAATGACCCACCGGTCCAGCCACCCAGGAGGTCTCCCTGCCAACTGATCTGCACGTCACGGAGCACACTTGTCCAGTGTGTTGGGATGGTCCCAGGAGGCTTCCTGCTGGTCCACGTGATCCCTGAGGCTGGAGACCGGGTCTCCTGTTCCACCTGGGACAGCACTTGGTGACTTGCGGAGAAATGAGTGTTGAAGACGCTTGTCCGCCCAGAGCCAGCAGTGTGTTGTGGAGCTGAAGAGCTCCTTGTCTTCAGAGACAGCTGCCCTTGACCCACATGACAAGTGTGTAAGTACTGTTCTCCCACTAGTTGCTTGCCTTTTACACTACACACACACACACACGCGCGCGCGCGCGCGCGCTCCCTCGGGACCGGCCACCCTCTGGGCCTGTCTCCCATTAGAGGCAACAGGGCTTGTGCCAGGACTCCTCGGGATCAGAGGATCTGAGCCCTGGAGATCTCTCAGGGCAGTGGGCCCCGTCCTTTCTACCAGGGTCTGATTTCACAGAAGGCAGCTTTTCTGTAAATTGGGTGGGGGGTGGGTAGAGGCTGCCGCGGCTGGTTTCAGGGTGATTCAGAGGCGCATGGGGCACCCCACCCCCACCATCCGGAACGCGCCGGCGCAGTTCCGCAGTCGGCCCGCACTCCTGCGGACGCCAAGGCCCGGCTGACAGCAGGTGGAGTTCTGGAGCTCTGGCTGCAAATACAGAAAAAGCAAATGCTTTGCTGGCTCTCCGGCCGCTCGTCTCCTGCTGCGCCGCCCAGTTGGAAATCACAGCTTCGCCTAGAAGAGCTGGGCACCTCCTTGGAGGCTTCCGGGTTGCCCGTGGTTGCTCCGACCCCGGTGCCAGCGCCCAGGGTAGCACAGTCTGGCCAGTCCCTCCTCCATCAGAGGACACTCTTGTCCCGTGTGCCTGCCTGGTATTACTCACTTGGTGTTGTGAGGGAGAAACCTGTAGTGAAAGCCGGCTGTGGTCACCTGGGGTCTGAGCGATGGTTGGCAAAACTTTCTGTTCTTGCCCTCAAAATGTCAAGGGATTGCAGTTCCTAGCAGAGCCCCCCCCCCAACACCTGTGCTGGTTGCATGGCCATTGTCTCACACACACACACACACACCCTGGGGAATTCAGGGCCTCAGCCTCGCCTCCTCCACTCCAATC